GGGGGGGGGGGGGGGGTAGTTCTCGATGTACTCTAAATCCTATATATCAACGACTCCACACTAATTCCTATACATAGTAGTTGTCTCAGTACTGCGGTATGTAGGTCAATAAATAAATACTGGTACCTGCGGCGTGGTCGTATTGTGTAGGCAAGTGGCACGAATCTCCTGAGCCGGTGCCTCTGATACATACACCTGATCCATCCACATCCCGTAGCCTCGGCAACGTAAGGAGTCGAGCTAAGCACACCATCTACCATGGAACCCAGGTGGTGAGCCTTGGGTGAGCTCCAGAAGTTCTGCTGTATTGCTGTCTTGCTGTCTTTGTTGGTTAAACGCGGCGAGATTTGCTTTTGAATTTGAAACCGGAAGAAACGCGACGAGATTGACTGGGTGACCCATAATGACTAGGGGCAAGTAGGAGAGTGGAAGGGGTGCCTTATTGGGGACGGGGGCAAGGCGAGGGAAGTGAACCAGCTTGGGAAGAATCGCCTGTGTAGAAATATGTCGTGTCGAGGTGCCCTGTACCCAAGGGTCGTCTGCAGTCGGTTAAGCCTTTGAGCTGTTCCAGGCAGAAGTCTGTGTGATGTGCGGACCGAAGTCTGTGTAGACGTGTAGACCGAAGTCTGTTGAGACAGTGACCGAAGTCGATGTTGTTTCTAGGTGCCGCCTTAGGGACTTTTACTTTCTTTCTTCGTCAGCTTACTTGCAGAGGAGAGATGTTGAGGGATAGTTGGGGAGTGAGCCTGGTGGGGCTCCCAACACCTCGTGATCTCGCTACAATTACAATCCTGTGCTCAATCATGTACATTATAGTATTTTTCAGTGAAATATTTCATGGAAGTCCATGGAATTCCATGACACCATGTCCATTGAAGTCCGTGGAAGTCCATGGAATATTTCATCATGGAAGTCTATGAAACATTTCCATGGACGTTCTAGAAATATTCCAGCGACGCCAACTTGGTGGATAAATGCCGACAATGACCCTTGGCTGTGTTGGACATTGATGTCCATGAAATGTGCGCATGGGGTTCATTGGACTTCCAAGGAACTTTTTACTTGTTTCCGCGGAGCTCCATGAACTTCCATGAGTCTTTTCATGAAACTCCTTTCACTTCCATAATTTTTCATGACACTCTTGGACTTCCATGAAAATTGTTTATGGAAGTCCAAGAGTTTCATGAAATGTTTTGATGGAGCTCCATGGAGCTCCATGGAACTTTTCATGGAGGTCCATGGACTTCCATGGAAGTCTCCATGAAGTATTTCATGGAAGCCCAAGGAGTTCCATGAAATGCCATGAAATATTTCATGAAAGTCCAAGGCGTTTCATGAAAAGTTCCATGGAGCTCCATGAACTTCCATGAAAATTTCCGCGGAAGTCCATGAAACGTTCCATATTACGCTACAATTACAATCATCTGATAAACCATCAATTCATTCATGACACCGTGTTATTCTACTGTACAAAACGTCATTTATCACACCGCATCTACGTATCATGGCATACAGCAATCATGCAGCTGCACCTATTCTACTACACACACACATCCTACCGAAGTAATGCGCTGCATTTCAACACGCCCCTATGACGAATGCAATGTTATGTGATCTTGAACAAACTCATCGTTGTCGTAAACCATTTACAAGGAGTTAAGCCGTAGACGGCAGCTTGCTCCTAGAGGTAGATGAAGGTTCCCGTCGTTGACACTCTTGTCCACGGCCACGTAGAGATGGGAGAGTTGCTTGTTATTGCTGAGAGACGATCAGCAAGGATCTGAGATGAAGTCGGGACCCAACTTCATCTCAGGGGGCACACAGAGTAGATAATTCTAAGGGGGGGGGGGTATCGGTACAAGAAGGAATACCTCCTGACCATCCCAAATCCTATGAACAATAGGATGTACCCTATTCATGCTAGCAGCCACACTCCTTAACAATCTACTGCACGAATTCTCTCAGTCTTGGTGTGCATCCTCCTTGTGTGCTTCTGCATTATAAACGCCCACCAACCGGTATACGAGTTTGGTTTTCCAGAATTTGGAATTACATGAAATATTACATGGGCGTTCATGAAACATTTCATGGGGAAACATTTCATGGGCGTTCATGGAACATTTCATGGATGGTTAGACTCATCCCACGATAGGGTGTACACCCCGATAACATGGGATACGCGGACGCGTAGCTCCGTATCTCACCGAAAAACGATCAATAACAACAAACATTTTTGCAGAATGGAAGCCAATGGGATGGGTGTCCCTGTCCCGAAATCAGATTCGGAACACATGAGCGATTCGAAGAGATACAAGAGGCTACGCTATGGGCTTTCATGAAACATTTCATGAACGTTCATGGATGTTCATGAAATGTTTCATGGACGTCCATGGCCTTTCATGAACGTTCATAAAATGTTTCATGGGTGGTCATGGGCTTTCATGAAACATTTCATGAACGTTCATGGATGTTCATGAAAGGTTTCATGGACGTCCATGGCCTTTCGTGAAACATTTCATAAAATTTTTCATGGACATCCATGGGCTGTCATGAAATATTTCATGAACACCCATGGGCGTCCATGAAAAGTTCGTTCATGAACGTTTATGAACGTTCACGGGCGTTCATGAAAGCATGTCATGCACGTCCATGAAATCATGATTTCATGGAATGCTTCATGACAAAAATATCATGGACATCCATGGAACTTGTCACGGAATGTCGTGAAAATTTTCATGGAATTCCATGGTTTTCCATGGAAGGAAAATTTCCATGGAAAAGTACGAAAATGTACAAGCCCCCTGATGAGGTGCTTCCGTTATGGCTGAATACCCCGCGTCACGAGCAGAAATCCTCCTATCCTTGAATGACGTGATGGCGCCATCTATGCGGGTTCGGTTGTACCACATGTTCCGCGCCTTTTGAGTGATGTCTGCCAGATCGTTGTACTCATTCCTCGAACTAGCATGGTACCGAATCAGTTGGTAATTTGCTGGCAGTCCTTGCAGTATGATGTCCCCAAGTTTCTCATCGGTGACTGTCCTTCCGATGAAACGAAGTTGTTCCGCGAGATGCCAGACATGGGTGATGAAGATGTATATCTGGATCAGTACCAGGTCCTATGGTAGCTGATTCCAATTCTCGTTCTAGTTTTATCCGCCGGTGTTCATCGGCAGCCTGGAATTTAGATTCCAGCTCCTTCCAAACAGCTAGTCCGCTTTCACTCGAATCATCCACAGGCGCGTGTCGCCGTAACACATATTTAGCTGGCCCAACCAATATGTGACATATTGAACAGTTAAGAATCGGCTTCCTCGTATTCGTCCAGCTCTTGCTGGTTCAGGATAGAACGGGAACGTCCGATTGATGATGACCGTCGAGCTGTTGGTCTCGTTCGTGATCCCTATTGGCCTTACGAAGAACGCTTCCGTGGTAGT